GACAACGAAAGAAAGTCCAAAGCGCCCAAAGGATGACGGCTGCTAAAGTTTTGTTTGCCATGGCTTGCTGTGGAGCTACAAATCTGAAATACTTTCTGGGTTTATAGATGATGAGGTCATGGGTGTCCAAACTGGAGCTTTTTCTACCGTGTACAGTTGAAATCTATGACAAGAAAGAACAACAAGACGATGAATTGGGCAAAGGGTTCCCGTTTAGCAAGAACAAAGGAGCGAATCTCTGGTTTTCTCGTTTCGTGTGTGTGTGAAGTTGCGGCCATCGAATGGAAGTATACAATTATAATATATATCCAGACGCCAACGCAGGGCTTGTTTGTGGGAGCTTTGGCGTATATAATATGGTGATCTTTCACTTCATATAACATATGTACGAAGACTCGACCATCTTGACAGGACACCACTAGGACACTAGTTGCATTGTTTGGGCATTACACACAATCAACAAGGGGAGAGGCATCCAATCCAATCCAATTGCTGTGTAAGGTAAGATCCAGTCCAGGGCATTTTGAGGGTTTTCCTTTTCTCCTTTATGAATTATTGGAGCTTGCTGAGGGGTACTATTACTGCTTGCAAGGGAGCAGGGGGCCCCAACAAACAACAAAGAAAAAAACACCCCAGAAAAGAAAATCAAAGCAAAACAAGAGAGGAAAACTTTGAAAAAATAAATTAAAATAATTCTTTAAACACCATGGAGCAATATGAAGAAGCCAAAGGTAGGTCACCTGCCCTCTATACAACTTTTGTAACCTAATAATTCTAAAGCCAAGACATGAGCACATACATATCTTTTATTTGCATTAGGTATGGCCCAGCCCACTTTTAGTATGTAGCAGGAAGAGTGTTTAGGGCAGCAGTTCACTTTTCCCTCTAATTTACCACAAAAGGTAATAAAATTCAAAAAGTTTAAATTGAACTTCAGAGTTAACCAGTGCCAATTAGTTTCTCCTGCCGCCACCCTCTGCTCAGAAGGAGCTATAGTAAGTGAGAAAGCACGAGCCTTCAGTTTTGGAAGGGAGAGCTTTCACTGACCTCGTTGTCAAAGACGTCAAAAGTACAATGCCCACCAAGATGATTGTTAGGGTTCCTGGGCTTCGTCCTCCTTCCTCCCCTGTTTACTAGGTCTCTCTCTCTCTCTCTCTCTCTTTCTCTCTCATTTTTTCTTCCTCCTCCAGCTCGCTTGTCCGCTTTGCTGGTTGAGTGGGCGATCGCCCGGCGCGCGCGCGCGCGCCCCTTGTATATAAGATAAAGCACGCATTCTTCTTCATCTTCTCTTCTCCTTCTCGAGGCTTTTGTTCGTCTTGCTCAAGGCCGCGAGCATTCATTGTGGCGCACAAACAAACAAAGAGGCGAGGCCGAGTGGTGCTTGTCCGATTGCGAGGCGGCCTCGTAGAGTGTTGTCGGTCGGACAGGGCGGGGATCTGCAGATGATTTGCTAGAACAAACACCACATCAGTAGCAGCTCTAGCAGCAGCAGAGCAGCAGTATAGCAGGCCACCCCACAACAAAAACAAGCGCACGAAGAACAAAAAGGAGGTGAGCAAACAAGCAAGCGAGAAAAGCGAGCTAGAAAAGCTTTCCCTCTCTCTCTCTCTCCCCAATCCAATCCAATCCAGCAGCTAGGCAATCTCTCACAGTGCTTACCTCTAGAACTTCGCTTCTCCACTTTTGTGTTTGTTTCTTCTCGTGATCTATCTGGATTGATCCTTCGCTGCTCCTGCAGAGATCAAAATTAATGGTCGCGCGAGGGAGACGGTCCAAAAGGAGGAGAGGGAGGAGGCCAGAGTCCGACCTTGGAAGAGGAGCTGGAACTGGAGGAGCCGGCGCTGCTGCCGCTTGAGATGTATGGAATGCTCTCTGGCCAACACCATGGAACGTCGTTTCCCGTCTTTCACCAGCAGCAGCAGCAGGAGCTCTACGAGAGGTGCCAGCAGGAGGAGCAAATCTGCCTCAATGGGCTCCTGAGCTCCACCGCCACCACCACCACCACCAGTAGCAGCAGCAGCGGTAGCAGCCATAGCCACAGCCACGCTGCGGTGTTCTTGAGCAGCAACAAGTCCTTGAAAGCTGCGCTGAGCAGCAACAATATCACCGGCAGCAACAGCAACAGCAGCTGGGAAGTCGCCACTGCCACTGCCACTGCTGCTGGTGCTGCTGCGAGGACTGGACAGCAGCTGCCAGAGCGGGAACACTTCCACCACCACCACCAGCACTACAACCACAACCAACAGTTGTTAGCGATAGATTCAACAGGAGTGATTAGCAGCACTACCGCCGGTGGTGGATTCGCCGGAGAGCCAACTTCCGTTCTGGATCTTCGCAGCCCAAGCCCCAACAATTCTCGCGCGCTCGGCTCGGCCTCTTCCTCCTCGGCCATCCGGAACAATACCAAGAAGGCAGGAGCCTCCTCCTCTTCCTCGTCGGATTGCAACAATAGCACCACCGATGCTGCCAAGGTGAAGTCCAGAGGGAATCATCACCAGGAGCAGCAGCAGCAGCGGCAGCAGCAGCAGATATCTTCCTCGTTTGCGCAGTCGTCGTCCTCGGCGGATCTACAGGATGAATTGGAGCAGGCCGTGGCAGCAGCGTCGAGTGGTTATGGACTGTCGCTCTTCTACTCTGGCCAAGGAATTCGCCAGATGGAGAATTACGGTGGATACGAGCAGCAGCAGCAGCAGCAGCAGCAGCAACAACAACAACAGCAGCCTCCGCAGGAACTTCTCCATCAGCAGCACCAAGGCAGGAGCGATCAGTGGCTGCTCCAAGACGTGGTCGGAGCCCAGCAGGACGAGTTGCTTGTCCACCATCTCCACCAGCAGCAACACTTGCTCCCCGAGAAGCAAAAGCTGGAAGAGCTTGAGAGCGAGTTGCTTGGGAGTTGCCCTTCACCTGGAGTACCACCAGCAGCTCCAGCACCTGATCCGTCTATCATACGGTGGCTGTTTGAAGAGCCTTTCAGCGGTTCCGCGGCAGCCGCAGGGGCAGCAGATGTGAACGTAATTCCGCCTCCTCCACCATGGCAGCAGCAGGTGATGATGATGGTAAAGCAGGAGCAGCAACAGCAGCTCTCCTCGTCCTCGTCAACCAGCTCGCTTCCCCCGCATCTTGCTCATCTCGAGAGCTTTACACGGAGGACACTACCGTTGGTATCATCGGGAGCTCCTCTGTTCCACCACCCCCATCCCATGCAGTTTCAAGACCCCCTGGCTATGAATTCCTTGTGGCAGCAGCAGCAGCAGCAGCAGCAGCAACAGCATAATCTTCAGATTGGTCTGGAGCACCAGCAGCAGCACAGGGAACCGTTCTTACTTGGAATGCTTCAAGATGAGCAGCACCAGCAGCACATGCCCAACTTGTTCGGACAAGCTCCCAGCTTCATGCGAGCTTCTTCACCAAGGGCTCTCCACCCCGGGCTGTTTGTCGAGAATCCAGGTCCCAGCCCTTTGCAACTCCTCCAGCAGCAGCAGGAGCGAGAGTTGCAACAAGCTGGTAAACGGCAGGCTTCACGGATACCATACGTGGACGAGCACGTCCTGTTGAGGCCGCAGCCGCTGCCGCCGAGCCTCAAGAGAGAGCAGCAGGAGCTTCAACACCCGTCGAGCAAGGTGGCGAGGCTGTCTCCACCGAATGCCCAACCGGGGCATCCGTTACAACAGCACGTCTTAAGCTCGAATTCCGGAGCGTTTCCGAGCAGGTTGTTGCTGCATGCGGCAGAGGCCTGCGAGAGCGGTCAGGACGAACTCGCCCAGTCGATATTGGCGCGGCTCAATGATCACCACCACCACCAAGTTTTCCTGCAACAACAGGAGCACCATCAGAATCAACAGTTCCATAAGCTCCAACCTCCAGCTTATCGAATCGGCCTCCTCTTCAGGGATATCCTCGCGGAGAGGCTGTCCAAGAGGAAAGCACGGAGTTCCACTCCAGCTCCCGCTTCGACGGATGCGACGGAGGTCGTCGAGCGGATTGCTGCTTGCAAGAGCCTGTATGACACCTCCACTCTGCTCAAGTGTGCACACTTCATCGCCAACCAGGCCATCGCCGAGGCCATCGAGTCCGAGGAATGCGTGCACATCCTCGATCTGTCCGAAGCAGCCAACTCGCCCTCAATGAACTCTTCCTTCGGGGGCCAGTGGTCATCCTTCGTAGCCTCCACCCTCGAGCAGAAGCTCCCCAGGCCGATCAAGATTCGAATAACTCTGACCAGCACCCGCCAGCATGCACTCTACTTCGCCTTGGAGAGCTTGAGAGAGCTGGCTCGGGACCATCCCAAGAATGCCGGATGCGCGGAGTTTGAGTTCTGTGGCGTGCTAACACGGTCCGGAAGTCCGTTGAGCTTGTCCGACATGGGCCTTAAGGTGCACGAGGTGCTCGTCGTCAACTTTGTGTTCGGACTTCACAAGTTGGTACCTGTTGCCGAGGCACTGGATTCCATCCGAGCTTCCCACCCGAAGATAGTGTTGCTTGTCGAGCAGGAGATGGAGCCACAGCCTTCGTTCATCGAACGCTTCCGAGAAGGCTTGGACTACTACACGGCACTGGCAGAGTGTGTTGCTGCTTCAGAGGAATGCTCCCTGAAGGAAGCAGACAAAGTTGAACAGCTGGTATGGAAGCCCGAGGTCGAAGAGCTGCTCGCTGGAAATTTGGAGCACCAGCGGCTGGAGAAATGGAACCTGTGGATGAGTCACGCCGGCCTGTGCTGCTCCAAACTCAGTGACATGTGCGAGAAGCTTGCGCTCGGCCTGTTCAACTTCGAGAAGGCCGGTAATAACAAGACCAGGGGATTTGACCTCGTCAAGGACGACGGAAGCCTGCTGCTCGGTTTCCAAGGAAAGGTCTTAGCTTCTGCGTCTGCCTGGAAATGCTGCTGAACCTGGTTGGTCGTAGGGTTGATTATTGACAAAGCTTCCCGGCTTGTAGCAAAGTGCTGGCTGGCTATTTTCTTGCTAGGTACCTGAGAGGCTTGTTTGTAGATGAAAACTCGATAAAGTCACCAAAGAAAGCTTCAATTACCAGATTTCGTTGCCTACAATGTACAAGATCACGTAAACTCACAGCATCCGTTGTTTCTGAAAGAGCGAAGAGCCAACTTTTCACGGGGTCAGGAAACAATGAAAGACGTACAGTATTTAGTCGTCAAGATAGTTGGGAATGTTCGGTTCTCGTCTTGTTTTCAAGGCAGCCAGCTTCCCTTGTCCTTTAAAAACATCCATGTCCAGTATGTGGGAGATTGAGAGCTTATGATCGTGTATCAACTGATATGCATCCTCCCAAATAATACCGCCCGAGTTTTTCACCCACAGATTCATGGCGTCATCTATTGTCAAATCTTCGAGATCAACGTCTTCAAGGTTCATCTCCCTTAGAACGTACTTAAGGTGCCCTGCACAAGGAAATTTCAGTACGCATATTTTCAGAAGACGGGACTTACCCGGAGCAGGGTCTCCCCGGCGCCTGCGTTTGAATTCGGCATGCTTCTGCTTGCACTCGTCCACAAAAGCCTCCAGAATGCCACGACTAGGAAATCCTACTTCATACTCTTCCGGATATCTTCCAGAGGCATCAACCAATTTCACCTCGTCGGGATGTAAATAACGAAGATTGCGTTCCTTGTCAGGGAGTTTACCCTGACCACGCTGCACCTGCAAAACGAGTAAAAATGTTGAGATGTTTCGGCCTATATAGACCAACCTCTTTGGGAACTCTTGGCACCTGCAACATGGAAGTATTAGGCCTCGACAAGGATTAGAACATTCTTACCAGTTCAGCCACCTTTACGTCGGTCTCCTCTCTCGTAACTAGATCTTTCACGCGAACATTTCCCTCTTCCCACTCTCTTATGCCCAAGAGAATCATGCGTTTTGCATCTATTCTTGATGCATAATTGAATACCCTGCATACCAACCATGAGAACTCCGGAAAGGACACAGGAAAACATACCATTTCAGTTTTTTGTTTTCTAAAATCATATCAACAGTACGTCCAGCCGAGCGCAGCCGCGACACAATGTTGCACGCATGACAGCGGAGCTCCTCATCCAAGACGAACACAACGTCGTCAACCTCGTGTCCGAGAACTGGCGATAGATTGCATTCGTTTAAAAGCTGGAAAGCAACAAAAACTTACTTTGTCAAGTTAGCAAGAAGCCAAATCTTACATCTACAATAACTGCATCCCCAAAACCAAATCCGCAGGCGGGTATCGAAGGGCCTCCAAAATTTGAAATAAGCTTATCGTATCGACCACCACCACAGATTGCACGAAATTTCCCTTGCGTATCAAATGCCTAGAAAGTTGGTGTAAGCAGTAGAGAAAACAATATAACCCGAACAGACCTCAAATACGATACCCGTGTAGTATGACAGTCCCCGCACTATTCCCAAATCTACAACTAGCCACTCGTCGTAGCCATAAGCTTTTGACAAAGCAAACAACTTCTTCATTTCCAAAAATGCCTCGCTTGAAGACCCAATTAATTCTGTTACGAAAAAAACAAGAGTGAAAACGAAATGTAAAAAACTTTACAAAACACAAACTTCTTACCTTGAATATCATCAAGGTTTTTAAGTAGTATAGCATGTCTAATTCCATTGATAGCCGTGGAAGAGAGTCCCAGGTCCATGAGTTGTTGGTCGACTTCCTCTTTGGAGATCTTGCTGATCTAGAAGACACAAAAGTGCTGCATGAAGTCTATTAGAGATCTCGGAAAGAGGGGGATAAAAAGAAAGAAAAAGTTCCCTACCTTATCTACAACTACACATACACTGTTGAATTTGTCCTGTGGAACAGAATATCGATCTAAAACAGCTTGGAGCACCTGTCAGTTTATCGTCAGATAAAAAACAAAAAAAAATCTCGGGTCTGACCTTACGATTAGAGACACGTATCCGCACATCATTTGCGGTGAACCCCATGCTAGTGAATAAAGTGACAATAGCTGCAAGGAGTTCAGCTTCTGCCTGCGGGCACAACGATCTGTAACTCCAACATTCAAAACAAGTTTCTACCTCAACGCCAGGCACCCCAAATATGTCCATGTTCCATTGATAATGTTCTCTTCTTCTTCCCTTCGTCATTCTCTCATAACGCCAGCACTGGCCAATCGTAAACCATCGCAGAGGGAAAACGAGCGATTTCCTGCAGAAGACGTCAAATGCATCAATCTCATCTTCAGGAACTGAATGCTAGCTAAACACAAAAGCAGAACAAACACTTGCCTCCATACATTCATATCAGTACAGCATGCGGCTTTATATTCATGCAAAACAACCTCACAACTGCAACACGAGATGAGAAATAAGAGAGTTAGATACACACCCCTTTTGGATGATAAGCCTTGCTATCGACGGCGTAATTTCTGGTCGCAAGCATAGTCTGCGCCCAGATTTGTCTTCAAAATTATAGAGCTGAAACCAACAGAAAGAGCGCAAGGAAAAGCTAAAAGATAAGAATGTAGCGCTTCATACCTGCTGTGTAATCTCTTCTCCAGCTTTTCTGATGTATAGAGCTTCCGACTCCACCACCGGAAAGTCCACCTCCTCAAATCCAAATAATCTTGAGACCTGGAAGCGCGAGAGAAGAAAAAAGAAAAAATAATAAGCATTCTATCGTGTAGCTTGGCATACCTCTTTAAAATGCGAGAACAGCCAGTTCCTCAGCAGCATCAGCGGCGGGGCGAAATCCCTTGTCCCGCGCGGCGGATTCAAATCGATAGACACCTCCTCCTTGACGCGAGCCTCGAAAGACTTCTTCGGCTCCTCATAGGTGTCGTGCGCTATTGCCGCCAGGATGCTCAAGCTCCTGGACGCTGCGCAAGCCGCATTCTCAAAACAATCGAGCAATCCTCACAAATACCTCGGCCAGGAGCGCGCAAGGAGCCATAATCCGCCAGGAGATGCGCGCCAGGCAGCGCCAGTGGCATTCGCGCGTTGCCGGTAGCGCTCCACAGCGGCAACGCCATTCGCTGCATTAAACCCTAGAGCTCGCAACTTAGAACACCAAAACAAGGCTTTATAGAAGGGTTTTAAAAAGTAGCGATATCCGTTAAGAGAATATGTTACATTCTCTCTGGACAACCTATTGTCCTCTAATGTCCATGGGAAAACTATTGTCCATGGAGTCGCGGAGCTTCCATAGTTTTTAGTATAGCTAGGATCTATCACGTCAAAAATATTTGCCTGCCGAGAGAACGTCTTGCATCCTTGGTAAGCTCGTGAGCCACTCGGCGGCCATGGCGGCGGCGTTCTTCTCGGCTTGCTTCTTCGACTCGGCGGGCTCGCCAATAAATTTCTTGCCTCGGACAACCACGCACGATATGAACTGAGACCCCGACGATCTCGTCTGGTACGTTGGAACCGCAAAGCCTGCTCGCTGGACCAAAGTTTGGAGAATTCCTTTGGTGTCTGGAGTGCCTTTGTCTTGGAGCTCCGCCGAGCCTTTGGAGAAGCCGCTGCCTTTGGTGGCCCGGCCAAAGACGAAGCTGCCCGAGCAGTCGTCCCCTCGCATGAGCTCGAAGGCAGCGTCCACGAGCTCCTTGTTCTCCGTGTAGATGTCCATGGAGGGATTAGCCAGCTGCGAGTGAGAGAAAAGTGAGAGGAGTGTCGAGTTTGAGACAGAGCTCACCTTTCGGAGGATTAGTTTGTCCATCTCCTGGCGAAGTCTCATGACAGTGTTCGCTACGTCTACTTTCATGAAGAACTCCAAGTAGCTCCCTTGCATAAGAATGTGTCCAGGCTAGCAGCAGTATCGAAGTGAGAAGAAGGTAAAAGAAAATCCAAGAGAGCATACCGCGTGGCCATCGATCAATTTGCCTCCAAACAGCAAAAGCGTTGAATCTGAAATGCAGGTTGAATCACGGACCATCACGCTTGACATTTTGATCTTCTCGCTGTACATTAGCCAGGGATTTTTAGGATTGAAGTCCCTGGAGTTTACCGAACTCTACGAACAAAATGACAAGTTAGAGGTAGAAAAACAGGACAAAATCCCACTTACAGCACTAAGCAAAACTTGGCCATCCTCGATGGTTTTATACAACACAGACTTTTGTTTTTTCTGCTCAAACATTCAAATAGACAAGCTTAGAGAACTTTGAAAATAGAAAATACACACTTACCATCACGGAGGCAACTCCAGGGAACAAACCCGAGCAGATGACAGCCCTTAAGACAACCGGGTCTTGACTATACCTGTTGAAAAATCCCAGGTCATCCGTGATAAGCCCTGCCGTTGTCAAGAGCCCTATAAATTGCTTCCGGAGAGAACTCATTCCTAGCAATGTTTGCATTGATAGGAAGTTCTTCCAACAATATGAAGACGCCACCTGGTTGCTCATTGCGGCTTCCCACCCTTCAAAGGCTCGAACGAGGCCTATATGATCGCTGGCTTCCCGACCAGCAAAATCGTATTTGGCTTGATCTGCTAGCTGTTGAAGTTGGATGGTATGTTAGACGCCGGAGTTTTAGAGCACAAGTTTACTCACATTTCTCTTGTCCATTGGCATAATGAAAGGATCACGAGCAGCTAAACCGGCAGCAATTGTTAGAACAGGGTCTAGGCAGCGGAAGATGGATCCCATTATGAGCATCTTGCCAAGTCGAGGCTCGACTGGCAATAATGCCAGTATTCTTCCTGGAAGGGTGACACAAAATATATTGAAATTGACACAGCTTAACAACGTACCTAAGTCTGTCAATTCCTGCTGTTCATCCAAAGCTCCAATAGTAGTCAAATATTCAAGCGCATTTTTTACCTGAAATACATCGCCAAAAATGTTTGTCAAAAACGACAAGAGACACACTATATATTTACCGCCAGATTTTCAGGTGGTTGCATAGCCTTTGATAGGAACATTGCAACATCTCCAAGCTGCAAACTCTTGATTTGTAAGCATAAAGAATGCAAAGGTGTTCGAAGAAGCTCCGGCAGCTGATATTCCGCAAATGCTTCGTGAACGGCCTTGGGATAGAGATGATAACATTCCCCTGGCTTTACACGTCCTGCTCTTCCTCGACGCTGCAAGACAGAAGTTAGAATAACGCATTTCCATAGAGAAGCAAGAGTATACCTGCCGCGAAGACGCTTTTGATATCCACGTAGGAAGAAGACATGGCGTGTTATTCAAAGCGTCGTAAGACGTCTCCTTGGCTTTCCCCACGTCCACCACAAACACTACGTCATTGATAGTGATACTCGTTTCAGCCATATTAGTTGCCAGCACAATCTTTCGTACACCAGGAGGAGGATGTTCGAAAATAAGTTTCTGCAGAAAAAGAAAAAGAAACATTTAGACACGAACATCGAAATACCACCAAGAAATTAAGCAAGACCAGCCTGTTCTGCTGTGGCCATTGAACCGTGGCATCCCAGAAGGAGAACTTTTCTCGAGTCACCAAGCACAGGGTCCTGCTTGAGCTTGTCCAGTAAAGCACTAATATCCTCCCACCCAGTCATGAAAACCAGGACTGCCCCTTCCCTCGCCTGTTTGCAAATGTGCAATAATGTTGCCTGGATCAAATTGAAGTTCAGAATGTCCGAGTTCCAGCAAGATAAAGACTCCCTTGTGCCGGCGCTCCTGTCGTTATAAGCCTGACTAGCCATCGCCTCCTGAACTTCCGAAATGTTAGAGAAAAAATACGATACAAACACACGCAGATAACCTCGGCAAGTGCGGCCACAGGCGACTTTCTTTTGCGTGCAGCTAGTTGCTTTTGCATTTTCCACAGCTTGTCTTGGCCATAATCGTCAACTTGATTAAATTGATTTAATCTATAGCCCGTCAAATCGAGTACGTCTTCCAGAAAGTGGCTCTTAACAGGGTACGTGAACCCCTGCATGAAAATTACGTTAGTAGAATTTAACAGTATTAACGGGAATTTTGTTCAATACCGGAATGTGCGCAGTTGGTGCTTTAGAAAAGTACTTAGAAAACAACTCCGCGTTCAAGGTTGCGCTCATGAGCACCAGCCTCAGGTCAGGACGTTGAGGAAGAAGCTCCTTCAGAATAACAAGAAGAAAATCTGAGAAAGAAAAAAGACCACGCTCAGCACGGTTTTGAGAAATAAAGAACCTTACCTTCATTCATGCCCCGTTCATGTATCTCATCAACAATCACATGCGTCACACCCTTGAGACTTGGGTCAGTCAACAAGCGTCTCAACAGAATTCCCGTTGTACAAAAAAGCAGTCGGGTATTTCGACTTCTTATACCTTCTAAACGCACTTGATATCCAATCTGAACTCAAAAGCGTCAAGAAACACAGTAAAAGACAGACTTCGATTACCGTTTCGCCTATAACCTCGCCCCTCTCAGAAGCAACTCTTTCAGCCACTGAAACAGCTGAAATACGTCGAGGTTGCGTGCAAATAATGTTACAGCTACCGCCTCTGCCTGCCTCAATCTCTGCCTCCAGAATATATTGTGGAAGCTGAGTTGTTTTACCACATCCTGTTTCTCCTGAAATCACCACAACCTGTAGAAGAATTTCTTGAAACTTTAACAACAAAAAGAACTTCCAACCTGATTTTTCGCAATCACTTCTAGTAGCCCGGCTTTCTCTTTGAAAGAAGGCAAGTTTCTCCGTATAGTCATCATTTTTTGACCCTCTTCGGATTCCTACACAAGATCAATGTCAATAAAAGATGTTTAACACCATCACATAGCACAAACCTCCCATTCTTTCATTTTTGCTTCAAGCCGGCGGCTCCTCTGCATCGTAGTTGTGGGGCTTTCTTCATAACTGCTGGCCGACCTTTCAGGCCCCCTAAGAGCTCTTCTAGACGTGTCAGCTGACATTCTCTTGAGACGCAAATGTTGCTCAAGCAATGCATTCGTTCGTCTGTGCGTCAGTATGGAGAACGAGACCTGTATCGTGCCAGATTAAATCACAAGAACAAAATAAAAGGAAACTACAAATCACCTCTCTTTGAGGACGCTTATCGTCAAGGTCGGGCCTGTAATGCGGCAAAGGCTTCTTGCTTATCGCAACAGCTTTGCCAAACATTTGGCTGCGCAAACAAAGAAGCTAAGCGTCTCAAGTCAATAGGAGAAACCGCTATACATTACCAATGAAGTCCCATTTCTTTGGCGAGAAGTGTCAAAGGCTCGATATATCTTCGATCCCGAGCTTCCCTCGATATGATCTCGGTTTGTTCTTTGTTTCTCAAAAATTTTGTTAGCCGCAAACGCCACTCGTCCAAGTTGACATAGTGGAGATTCTAAAAGAGAGACGCTTTTGGCAAAAGAGAAATCATACACAAACTTACCTCTGCTGGAGGCCCTCCATTTCTATCGTCCAAATCGTCATCCTCGGAATACTCGTAGTAGCCGCGAGGTTGAGCTCGGTTGAATGCCATAGAATGCAATGCCCGGCGTTGCTGCCCGGAGGGAAAATTCGGACTTGGCAAGCTTTGTGGATTGGAGAAAGTCTCCACATCGTTCTGGAAGTAGCTGCTGCTGCTGCTGCTGCCAAAACTACTCCCCGCCTGACCGTCATTCTCTTGCATAAGCCTCCGTAGCCTCTCCCAGTTGGGAATTTGCTCCTGTCCTCTACTACTACTCCTCGCGGCAACATCTAGCCTCCGCCCGCTCCTCAGCGGCGGATGGAATCTCAAAACCCGCAACATCTCACAGGCAACGCGATTGCTGCGAAATCCCCCGCATGCCGGCCAGGCCGTGGATGACTGCCACCTAGAATCCACTATCGCGACCAGCGCGCTCCAGCCCTGAGCAGCATTTTCCACAATGCGTCGAGCTGCGAGACGAACGCTTCGCCAAGAACCCTAAGAATTGCTTAAACCCTAGCAAATTATCGAAGAAAGCCCTGCGCCATCCCAGCCGTCCATCCCGGAGAAATATCCATCGCGCGTCTGTGGCGGATGTGAGGAGGGGCATTCAAACCGATTGAGGGGCGAGAGAGCCCGCTAAAAGAGAGTTTTCAAATGAAAATTTAGGGCTGTTGCGAGCGATG